TAAGTGGCTGAGGCTGACTTTGAACTCTCAATCCTCCTGCCTTTGCCTCCCCAGCTACTTGGATTCTGGGCGTGGGCCACTACCTGGCTAACATTGAATATTTTAAATAGCAGAATTTTGTTGAGAGAGACCTCTTCAACTTTTCCTTACAAGTTAGAAACTCTAAAATAAGATTTTTCAAACAGAAAATACTTTGAAGTTTCAAGAAGCTTTAATTTTGTCTGATCAGATAGAAATTGATTAGATGTATTATTTAGAATGATTAGTACGCTAGGAGCACTCCCTGATAGTCCTTTGAAACTGATAAAACCATGTGCTATAATCTGACAGGGATCATCAATTTGTCACATTATCCCAAAGTTCCTCTTATAGTCTGTGACATTTCCCAAACTGTCTAGAGAATTCAAGCTCTTAGAACAGCTTCTTTTATCAGCCATCTCCAGAGACACATCACACCGAGAATTGCATAATGTTTTTTGGAACCCAAGTGGCTCTTGCCAAAGGTGGACCCTTTGGAAGATGATATTACTGACGTCTAGCCTCTGGTTAAGATCAACCCTTGCTGGGTGATTTTAATATTAATAAATGCAGCTGGTTGAATGCTGTACCTTTGTTCTTTAACAGAACAAAGAGAAGTAGAGTAATCTCCCTTGGAGTGTTATCAACTGGCAGACTTGGAATGTGAATATTGAGTGATAACTCCTAAAATTAAGTTTATTCTTCACATCCATTATCCAAATTTTTCCTTTGTTTTTATGTATCTATAATACTATGACTTCATGTTGAAATATGTATTCTCACAGATATGCAATAGACACATAGCTTTTTATTTATTTTTATCCTTTACATCTTCAAAAATACAATATCACCTTGGGTGGTGTTCATTGTTGTTCCTTACAAAATGAATGAAGAAGCATCAGAATTATTGAAGAATGCCCAGTGGATACAGCCAACCCTGTTCTGACAGCTTTCACTCACACCCCCAATAAGTAGACCACAACATGATTAAGGTGTATGTATGTCGGTACCTGTTCTATACTGAATATCACACCTGTGGAGACAGGCATATTGGTTTCTAGATATTTCCATTTCATAAAGTATCACATAACAAAACTCTTGGGCTATTGGCATGGGTTTGCAAAAGCTGAGAAATTGTGATTTATTGTTTCCCAATATCTGTTATACAAATTTTCCTACAATTTTTTTTTTTTTATGGTTAAGCAGGATGCCACCCAGGTGTGTTTCTGAGAATTGTGTTTTATGGTCAGGTGATACTTGACACCTGTTCATGGATAGTGTTCATCCATATCTGGAGAATCCTCTCCCTGCTCCCTCACAGAGCAGCAGCAGGGTTAAGAGCACTGAAGCGGGCTGGGCAGTCAGTACTGGCCAGCAGGCCACCCACAAGGGGAATCATTTCAGATAAATCCCTGAGCCTTGGTTTTCTCATCTGTGATGGGGGATGATCTGGCACCTAGGAAATATCCAAAAAAATATTATTTGCTATTGGTGACAGCATTTATTCCCGGCACATAGATACTGTCATGCTTATTTGTGTCCATGCTCCATTAACAGAGCAAGTTATTCCTCCAGAATCATGTAGTACTGTGGGATCATGACTGATTCCCTAATATTTCTAAACCAGTTCATTGAAATGCTTCATTTATTTGTTTAATAGAGGTCATGAAGAATCTATTATTTGGAAGGTTAGTTTTCATATTGTACTTGTTTGTGAAAATATTTTGAGTTCTGCAGAAGTATAAGTGAGGGGAAAAAAAAAGACTCACCACTGGATTTTTGGAAAACCAAGCCCACACCTCAAGAGCACCTAAGACATTTTTCTCCACAAGCTCAGGAAGGAAGATGCGAAGCTCAGTTGTTTTTAGGCAGGTGCTTAAGCTAAAGGAAAGCGATTTCCAAAGCAACTGTGATCATAACAGTTCACCTGTATTTATCCAAAAAATGCTAAGGGATTCATTTTGGCTATTGCTTCTCAGAAGCCAAGTGAAGTGAGGTTGTTAAATCAGGAAAAACGGAGCTAAATTGCCTGGTCTGGTCATGTGCCTTTTAAATTGTGGCTTAGGCACAAATTACAAAAGCAATGTCATCCGACAAGGGTTAAGCCTCTGCTGAATGAATGTCTCACTGCGCAGGCCTCCAAAGGAAACTTCCCTCCAGAGACCTACATGGCATCTTCTTTTATGCTTTTGGCATTTCCCAAAGCACCAGCATTAACATCTCTCTTCATTGAAGGAGCTTGTGGAGCTGCAGAAGTAGAAAGTAAAGTCTGCTCTTCCAGTCCTGGTAGTCGTCTCTGCATGTGGCGTCACAGTGAAGCTGTCTAGGCAAAGCAAGACTCAGGAAAGCACTTTGATGATTTTTCTACCTATGCAGATTTTGTGCTCCATGTGACAATTTGTTTTCTTTGTCATGAGAAATACTGAAGTACGAGTGGGGTTAGGTACACATGTGGCAACAGTCACAGCCTCTCTTTCCATCCCAGGGCCTCCCTGGGACTTCGAGGCATCAAGGTGGAGGCAGACTCCACCTGTACCCATGCCATCTTGGCTATACTGAGTATATTCTGGAAGCAGGTTCTGTGAGTCTTTCTGTTCAAGTAAAGAGTTGATCTTCCTGAGGTTTGTAGATGTCAGTCCCTGACCCACACTGTGAATTCTTCCCATTTTCTCCCATTCCCTGCCTTTCCTCAGTGGTTTCCATACATGTCAGCATCTCATAAACCACAGCAGTACAGACCAACACTCCAGATGGCTAGGTGCCTCTGTACCCTGACGCCTGGGCTCACATTTGCCTAAATTGCACATGGGAAGCAGAGTGAAGGACCATGGAGCATTTCTACCATTCCTCAGTCCCAAGGAGCTTCTGACAAGACCTGAGTCAGTAAGGAAGTGCCATAAAATGCTTCCTGATGGGCGTTGGTCTTCTACTCAGACCAGGGAGGCGAAGGGTGCCACAAAAGTCGTCCATCGCCAGAGTTTGTGTCTAAATCCCTGATGGGGAGATGTGGGTGGAACAGAAGTGCTTTCAGCAGCTTGGAGGATCTGAACCATTGAACAGGACCCAACCAGGGCCCAGGAGGGCGGCTCTATTGACGGTGAGTGAAGTTAGGTGGCCAGGGGCTGCCCCTGGTTTAGACTCATGGGTTTCAGCGGATGGCATTCCAGCTACTTGGAGAGATCTTGTGTGAGTGATGGCCCTGGACACACAAGTGTCAGAAGACTAGGCCACCAGTGCTCATCTTGTACTTGACTGTACAGTGGCCAGGAACTCAAAAGACAGTTCCTGTCTTTCTGTGGCTGGCCTAGAAGGCTAGGAGGTTCTTCAGTGGTTCCTTACATGGAACTGAAGTCTCAAACACCATCCAGAGAAGAGGGCAGAACATCTTTTTATACATTTAACTTTTTCCAATCCTAACAAAAACATCGCAAGGGAGTTATTATTACAGAGAGAGAAGGAATCCAGACTAAGGCCTCTAAGAGCTCATACTCTGATTCTTCCTCACAAAGCTATTTTATACGAGGCCTAAAAAACCCACATGGACTTCATAATCAAGCGGGAAGGTTGTATGATCAGGTGGACAAGTGCAGGTATACAGTTATAAAATAAAACCAGTTATCACAGCCCTGCCCTGCTACTAAATTCTCTCTGTTTAATAAAAGTATCACCAGAAACAAGTTGTCGTGTATCAGTTTTATCTGATATAGTCAGCTCAAATTAAATGGAGATGGTTGATAGTGGACATTTGTCAAGATGGCAGAATGTTCTCCGAGTTGATAAAATTAGAACGAGTTACATTCAAGGGGCTCATGTTTGTGAAGCACTGCTCCAGCCTCCTGCGTGTCATGAGTGTGTAACATGTGTGTATCTGGCTTGTCCACGAGTTGCCAATTCCCCTTTTGGGTGGTGAGCACCACTCTTCTATCCGGATCCTCAGGTTGGGCTTCTGGTTGCTGCTCTGCTTCTCCTCATCTGACTTCCCTGAACCAGTGAATGGGCCCAAGGTGGGCACATGGCCCAGAGTGGCCCTGTGGAGTATTCCTTAGAAATTGAGGATGTAGTCTAAGCACCACTGACCCAGTTCCTATATGCCACCCTGGCCTGGGATGCAGCAGGGGAAACCTGGAAAGAGAGGCAGAAAGAGCAGCCTGGGTAGGAGCTGAGGGCTTTGGTCTTTGTGGCTCTGGTAGCTCCTGGGGTCTGGTAGCATTCATTCCTCTTCTGTGGTGCTTTCAAGTCACTCTCTGTTCTCATAACAGAGCCCTTATCGCTTAAGTGAGCTCAAATTGGTTTCACTTAATTTGTCTGCAAATGGTCTTTACAAAGAACACACAGAATATGAATGTTCTTTAAGAAAACAACAGTCTGAATATCTGGCGGGGGATCCCAAAGCATCCAGCTGGAACTCCATGTCTGAAGTGTGTCTTTCCAGGACACATGGCTGGGTCCCACCTGTACCCTTGTGCCCCATCGAGCGCTATACCAGAGCCTGGGCATGATGACACGCCTGGGGGGGTGTTTCCTGTGGCTTCCTATCTACTTTGACATTATAACCTGCTAAAAATGGCTTGGCTTTTGTGTAATGACCTGATATTTTTGTAGTGATAAATTACATCAGGAAAAGGACAGCAACACCCAAAGCAGAGTAACAGGCCACAACTCTCCCTCAGGTGGACAGTCCCCAAGGAGCTGCACTGGCTCAGCAGCACCACAACCCAGGTGCCTGGGTTTCTCCTCCGCTAGCCACATGGGCTCAGCTGTGTTCTTGCAGACACTGGAAATGCTACTTTTGGACATGGAAGGCATTAATTTACCAAATTTGGGACTGAAATAGCAGCCTATGAAAAGTAAAGCAAAAGGCTTCTATTTTTAGAATGACTTCAACTTTATTCTTTTCTTTCAACGAATCAATGAAAAAACCTAAACTTGGGTATGGATAGGATTTAACGTGTTTTATGATTCACGTTTTTTTGTGCTTATAGTGTGAAGTGGCTGCTGAAGGAGGCAGCACACTCAGGACTGGTAAGTCCCCTCCCCCCTCCCCCTTCCCGCTCCCCCCAAGCCCACGCTACCTCCTTGAGGTCAAAATTGGGGGCCAGGTAACTCACCTATCATGTTGGGCATGTGAGATTCTCATCCAGAAGCCTGGTGGTGAAAAATATTGAGGATGACAATTAGAATCAAGGTTTTACTTGGTTATTCATTGTAAAAACTGGGTGCTTGTTCTGCTAGAAGGGTACCTTTAAAATCCTTTTATGTATGGTAACTTGTTGGCTTCACAGGAAGTAGGAAGAATTACAGGACACGGACTCCTCGGCACTTCGCAGAGAGGATTGTTAACGGGGTACCACCCTCGTGCACATGTTTAATCAAATGCCAGATTTCTTGACTTGCTATTGCTTCCTGTGGAAAGAGTTTGGTGGGCATTTCTGTTCATGAGAGAAAGCCAGTGTCAAGTTTCTCTGGCCCTTGGCTGGAGGCATAGTAGCCACACTGATGACGAATTTCTCTGGGGCTGATGCAAACATGTGGCTTCTTTTCTACATGGCAGCACTTTCTGCTTTAGAAAGATTTTGCAAACTTCTCTTGTGTCAGAAAGAGTCAAACCAGGTTTTTTCCCTCAGGTGTTTGGGTGAGGCCAGAGAAAAGGGCAGGGGAGAGACGCTGCCTGGCAGCCCGGGGACCTGCAGGAGAGAGTGCCTGGTATCTGAAAGCTGGAGCACGTCTGGGTCTTCAAGTGGCCTGGCAGACTTTTTGTCAATTTGTTATTCTCTTCTTTTTTGTTTTTGGTTCATTTGAGGCAAAGAATATTCCACTGGGTACTTGATTAAACATAAAATTCCTATTTTCTTAGATTGCCTGTTATCCAGAAGTAGGTATTAAGCTGGCTGTTAATTGCTTGAGATTATCAAGTTGTTCAGGTTCTATCATTTTGTGAATATTCTTATTAGGGTACATAAAGGGGCTCATTCCTATGGAAATGGAAGCAGAGCTGTGATAAAGGGTCTGCTGGTTATTCAGAAATAAACTTTTAACCATATATACATATACTTGGAAAAGAAAGCAGTTTTTAAAATTAAAGGTGTTATGCAGATTGAGTATCCCTTATCTAAAATGCCTTGTACCAGAAGTATTTTGGAATTCGGATATTTTTTGGACTTTTGAATATTTGCATGTCCATAATGAGATATTTTGGGACGGGACCCTAGTGTGAACCCAAAATTAACTTATGTTCCATATAGACCTTTTATACATAGCCCAAAGGTAATTTTATTACAGTATTTCCTGTGCACTTGTGTTTGGGCTGCGACCTGTCAGATGTGGAATTTTCTACTTGTGTTTTGTCAGCACTCAAAAAATTTCAGGTTTTGGAGTCTTCTGGATTTTCAGATTAAGTATGCTCAACTTGTATTTCTATTATCAGACACTCAGAATCACATCAAGTACACAAATTTCACTTTCAGCTCCCACTTTTTGTTCACTTGCTTGGCTGTTTGGTCATAATTTATACAATATTGATTTTCTGTCAAAGAATATAAAAAAATTTGATTTATGCAAATTATTCCAAAGCTCTGTGAGGTGACTGGTGAGGGACAGATCTGTAGCTCATGTCATTTGGGAAGTGCTGTGTCATTTTTCATTCCCTCCTTGGGATTTACCAAGTAAATTCTTTGAGAAGTCTTTTATTTAAACAAAACAAAATAAAACAAAATTTTAAAGTTGTTGGACCAGTGACTTCATAAGCATTTCTTAAATGCTCTCTACTAACATCTCACAGAATTCTCTGGAAGGTGCTGGAGGGAATGTGGGAATTTACCTCCCCTTTATGCTGAGGCCTCCAGTAGAGAGCCACACAGCACAGCGGTGGAAACACCTTGGCCATGAGCCAGGCAGACGCTGGGGGTTCTGTGGTCCCAGCAGTTAGATCTCTGCTGTAATGTGGTCTCTGCATGTTGCTGTTGCCCAGTAACTTTTTTAAGTCCTGGAAACTAGGTCTAGAAACTGCTGTGTAACAAAAGTCCTGACTGATACCCAGCCCTCCTAGGAATGGGGTTCTTTCCTCTGACCCCTGTTCTCCTGGGACAAGTCTCTAAGGCATGCTGCTGGGTGTGCTGGCAGGTTACCTGGCCCTTGCACATCTGCGTGCTGCTTGCCAGTTAGACTGATAGGAGCTGGAGTCCATCCTGGATATGGGACATTGTTCACTTAGCAACTGCTGATTTTCTAGATCTGTTTCTCTGGGATACTCATGACCAGCTATGTCATGAAGCAAACGTGCTTGTGATAAAAGTGATGCCAGCTTTGAAGTTCTACCCTTCCTGGGGTGCTGCAGATTATTTGGTAGAGGTGCCACTCTTTGGGGTTCTGAATCATGAGCCTTGTAACTAACTGGCATGTTGGTTGTGAGGACTCTTTAAAATATGCCCATGGGTTTATTGCAAGCGTTACTGGTCTTTGTGGGCTGGGGCAACTCTTCACTGTCTAACCCAGATCTCCTCGTGCCTCACTGTGCACTGTAGCCAGTGAATTGCTGGGGGGTCAGCAGGGCTGGCCAGGGCACCTGAGGCCGGGAATCTGGCTGGCTCGAGTACTCCTCTCAGATACCCTCTGAGTGAACTGGGGCCATGTGTGGACTCTGAGACTGGGTGTTGATCATGGCCTCAGAAGGCTTTCTGCTGGGCATTGCAGAAGGGCCAGGAGGGCAGCTGTGAAAAAAAGAGGGAGAGGAGGGGCCATGGGAGGTTGTCTCAAGCAGGGGACAGCAAGGACAGCAATCCTGAAGCCAAAGCGATGTGACCTGAATGAAGAAAAGCAAGAAGGTGGAGATGCCAGAGAAATTGCCCTTGGATTTCCTTCACCTGAGCACACTGTTGGACAGTAAGTGCAGCTATGGCAGCGTCTCCTGCAGGCAGGGTTCTCCAAGGGTCACTTTTCCCTTCCTTCCTTAAGCTTTTCACCGTGTTGAATAAAATTGTATTCTCATGCTGCCTTGAAGAAATCCAGCCGTGCTTCGTTTCACAAGCTACAGAGCTGTTTTCATGTGCTCTTGTGGCCAGGGCCACATTCCCTCCATGTTTCCCCAGCAGGAAAATTGCCCCTGCCATTACCCACCCCTCCTGTAGCCTCCCGCCCCATATTTTATGTAGATGACACAATCTCAGGGTATAATAATCATTCAATTTTCAGATGCAAGTTACATGAGCCCCTGAAGGTATAAGAAGGTGGTGGAACTGAGAGGGTAACTCAGCACTTTGGACAAATGCTGATCTCAACTGAGATCTTTGACTAATGACACTTGCATAACAGCCCCCCATTGGCCATGGTTTTCCTTTCCATGCTTTCAATTACTGTGGTCAGTGGCAGTCCAAAGATACTAAATGGAAACATTTCACAAGTTTTAACTTGCACCCTGTTCTAAGTAGTGTGATGAAATCCCATACCATTCCACTATGTGCTGGTGGGATGCAAGTCAGCATTGTATCCAGTATATCCCTGCTGTATACATTACCAACTGTAGAGGTATCATAGTGTTACTGTTCCGGTTGCCTTGTTTTCCTCAATAAAGTTCCCAAAGCTCAAGAGTAATGATGCCAACAATTCAGATGTGCCAAAGAGCAGCCACAAAGTGCTTCCTCTAAGTGAAAAAGTGAAAGTTCTCAATTTAATCAGGAAAAAATCTTATGCTGCATTTGCTCAGACCTACAGTAATAATGGGTCTGCTACCCATGGAAATTATAAAGAAAATGAAATTCATGCTCCCTTTGCTGTCACACCTCAGACTGCAACAGTTAACACCCGCAGTGCTTGATATGAGCTCAGTTAAGATGGGAAAAGCATAAAATTTGGTGTATGTGCATATAGGAAAAGACACGGTACTTATAAGTTTCAGGTATTATGATGATGGGTTTCAGGCATCCACTGTGGGTCTCAGAATGAATGCCTCATGGAGAAAGGGGGCTACTATATTAGCTCACTCCTTTTCCCCTTGAAGTGGCTCATCTTTTTCTCTGCATTTTCTTCCACCTCTCAAAGAATCAGTTCCTGTACAAAATCTTATATTTGGACTCTTAACAGCCATCTGATTTACTCTACCTATTTCTGGTCAAAATCTAACCCATTTCACTTCCACTACCCTTTCCCAGACTGTGATAATTAGTATGCAAGCATCACCATGGACCACTTACCTTTGATACTTTCTCAGCTACTGGTGGGATGATTTGACCTGGTTGAATGTCCTGTAAAAGGAGGTGTACTTGAAGTCTAAGGAGGAATGATAGCCTTGATTGTATTGTATCTTAATTCCCTATTTCAGATTGTGTCTTACAATATATCTTTAAAGGAACTCGTAAGAAACTAAGATTGCTGGAACTTGACAGTTTGGCTAAAAGCTGAAATGGGGCTGAGAAAGTGCAGAGGTTTCTTGGCAACAACAGGGGGCAGCAGAGAGTTGTTGCAGAGGGTTTCCATGGTGGACTGAGGGAAGGCAGGATGGCTGCCCCATGGAGAGGAAGCCAGGAGCCCACAACCAAGGAGGAGACAGAACCATCCAGCTCGGAAATGGGATAGGAGGCCATGCAGAAGCAAGGAACAGATCCATCAAAGATGTGAGATGGAAGCCTTCAGAGTGGCACTGTCCAACAGAAACACAGCAAATGACACAGATGCAAGCCAGATATTATGTTTAAATTTTCTAGTAGCCATATTACAAAAAGGTAAAAATAGCAGGTGAAATTAACAGTATGTTTTATTTGACTCAACATGTATATACACATTACAATTTCAACCTATTATTGGTATAAACATCAATGAGACATTTTACCTTTTTCTTATACCACAGCTTAAAAATTGTTGATTTATTTTATACTCACAGCTCACCCCACTTAGAATTAGCCATAGATGCTCCCCAGCCCCATGTGCTTGGAATGCTGTGTTGGACAGGGCAGCTCTAAGATGAGGCAGGAGAAGAGACAGGGTATAAAGGAGTCAGAGATGGTGGGAAAAGGTTACTAGAGAGGGAGGCCGGAGCCTAGAGGCACAGACGATCCAGACTGGCAGCTGCACCTTTTGGACAAAGTGACAGCTTGAGGTTTTCTTGTCCAATCAGGATTTTGCATTTTGTAATTTATTGTGGTAAAACTCCTGAACAGGTATGAATGGAATGTACAGGACTTCCAAGCCAGTCGTGTTCTTGGGGACTGTGGATTACAATTTGATTTTTGCTTCTGACATCAATTGGTGGACACTGCCCAGACCCTGTGGAGTAGGATTCTGAGGTTGCATCTTGACTCGGAAGGACAGAGCACTGTGCTTGTCTTTCAAGGTGTGACACACACTTGTCATTCCTGTGGTCATACAAGGTCTCCAGGTTCTGGACACCCAGTGGATCCTGTTTGCATGATGGACATTCCCAAGTTCAGGTTCTTCTCTTGAAGAATAGGAATACCTGCTCATACTCCCCAGGGTTGCTGCTGTCACCAAATGCCATGGTGCCTGTCAAGGACCTGGCATGTGGACTTGTTCTGTAAGTGCTGGTACCCTCCATTCTCTGTTTTCCTGTTTGATCAATATTTGTTGAGGGACCAGTTTGAACCTCATATTGTACCACATAATCTGTGAAATATTATGCAAAACACTGCCCTTCCCTGTAAGGAGCCCAATTAGAAAAATGATCACATTCTATATAGTGAGCAGTGTAATGTGTACTTACGTGTCTTGTCCTGATTCAAGATGTGTGTCTGTTAAAAGGGAAAGGAGAGAGTGTTGAGGAGGGCTTTGCCAAGGATGTGGATGGAAGGATGCAGATCTGGAGTTAGAACTGACACATACGAATCGTGATATTCATGA